AAAAAACAAAGAAAAATAATAGGAAACAGACTCCCCTACCCCTACTTCCGCGTCTCAAGAAGGGAAATAAAGAAAAAGGAAAAAAATTAACCAAAAAGCCTCATTAAAAATTCAAATAAAAGCAAAAACATGAAACAAAACAACAACAAAAATTTGAAACACCAGGCTTGAGTTAAAGTTAAAGCACAACAAAACAAAGATAAGATTGCAATTCCCCACGAAATATCAATGTAAAGGTGCGCATAGCAGCTCAGCGAACCTGAGTGCTACAGAGACGTTTCTTTAGTTCTGCCTCCTCGTTAGCATATTATTACTAGCAAGTGAAACAGGCCATATATATCCAAACAACCTCTGTGCACCTCCTGTCATTTCCCCCACTTCTGTGGCCTGTCTGGATTCATCCATTCATTTTACCACCAGCCCCAGAAGTAGTTTCCATTGTTCTTCTTTTCTTCATCCTGTCTCCTCTGTCGATCCTGCTCCCTCTGTCTCCTCCTCTCTTCCTCCTGTCTTCTCCTTTCCTCCTGCCGCCTTTCCCTTTCAGCCCGTCTCTCCTCCAAAAGCCTTTGGAAGAGGGATCTGAAAGAAGGATAGAAAGAAAATAACATACTATTCATTCATCCTTTTCATGTTCAGAACGTTGACGTGCACTATGGCATCATTAATTATTGTGTTGATGTGCTTTTTTTTCTTTACTCAAACCTGAAACAAATAAGCACTATGGCGTGTGCAAAGAAGCACAAGAGACTTTCGTTATAATCTCAGTCGATATAATGCTTGACTATAACATAGGGGCTCCAGTGGCTAAGTGAACAGAGCGTTCAGACTCAAAGTAATATCAAACAAAAAAGTGTTGGTGACATAGGGTTTAGATTAGTGGTCACCAGGGGTGTCCTTCAGCACGACACGACATCCCTAGCTCGGAAAACAGGATGCTGCACAGGAGCGACCAGCAATGACAGACATCATGTTTGTGAAGTTGTCCTGTTCTGGTGAATTTATGTATGTTTTTACGTATGTATAATTTATGCATGTATGTATTTTTGTAATTATGAATGTATGTAGTATGTAGAAAAGTAAAGACATGCTTGCCACTCTAACCCACATTTCACCATGGGGAACAATATAATATGTAATTACTTTAAAAAATTTTTATATGACATTGACAGAGATTCACATCCCCAAATGAGCAGTCTTGAACGTGGGTTGTTATGGACGTTTTCAAGGCTCTCCTCTCACTAGGTGCAGTCCTATCATCAGAGATGAACATAACCAGCTTCTGTAGTAGAGAAGGTAGGCATTTCGCCGACGCGTGCAAAAGATCCGAGTTCGATTCTCGAATGGGGAGAAATTTTTATCGAGTATCTCGGTCTTTCTGAAGGGACTTTGTACTCCTCTCAGTCCGGGTTGGCCCTGACAGGCAGGGTCGATGCCCACATCCTATATGATCTAAAGTGTGTCGACAGGGTATACATTTAAAAAATGTGCGTTAAAGTCGCAGGTCGAATGTCACAATAATCCACCAGTGTTCTACAGGTTTTTTTTGTCTTAAATCCACATCACATTAAACCAAAAATAAAATTTAATGTAACAGGCCTATACTGCGTACTTCGCGCAATCGTATGACCTTATGCAGTTTTGAGCGCCGTGAAACTTTTACAAACAACAAAACATTAAACCAAAGGGTATACAAATCCTACGAAGACACAAACAGGGGCTGAGGGAGAGAGATGCACAGAGAAAGATGCATAGAGACAGAGACAGGGAGGGGGGTACAGAGAGACAGAGACAAAGATACCGGTATAGAGAGACAGAGATACAGTGACATGACATGAAGAGACTATACAGAGAGACAGAGACAGAGACAGAGATACAGGGAAAGAGATACAGAGATACAGGGAAAGAGATACAAAGATACAGGGAAAGAGATACAGAGGGACAGAGATACAAAGTGACAGACAAATGTGGGCAGCAATTGACTTACCTCAAGCATCGAATAAATTCCCGACGGTTAGTGAGGAAAGGGTAGCAGTCACTCAGTGATGAAGGCCGGTTGTCAACAGTGGTTGTGGATGCTTGTGTGGTTGGTGGCTGGGTGGTTGGTGGTTGGGTGGTTGGTGGTTGGGTGGTTGGTGGTTGAGTGGTTGGAGGCTGAGTGGTTGGAGGCTGGGTGGTTGGTGGTTGGGTGGTTGGTGGTTGGGTGGTTGGTGGTTGAGTGGTTGGAGGCTGAGTGGTTGGAGGCTGGGTGGTTGGTGGTTGGGTGGTTGGTGGTTGGGTGGTTGGTGG